GGGATTCGAACCCGCGACCCTCAGATTGCGAGTCGAGCGCCGTAACCACCTGGCCATGCCGGGCCACGGTTTGTACTTAAGCGGAACGTTCCCGAAGAAGCTTTAAAGCGAAACGTTAAGTGTCTAATTAAAGAAAAATAACAAATTTGGTGTTTATTTCTAGAATTAAAATGTCTTTTATATACCAATATGCAATACAGAAATTAGATAATGAACCTCTAGAAATACATTTAGTTATTTCATGAGCGAGACAGCAAAAAATATATTCATCTGATACAAAAGTTCTCGATTATTTTTATCAATAAATAAAACGTTAAAGGTTTTTTTAGGAAGTGTCAAAACACTCCGTAGAATAGCGTAGTTAATCCAGAAAGATTTGGTGAAAAGCGTCCAAACATTATCAGGTCAATTATTTTATAAAACATGAGCTTCTCTACACATTTTAATCTAATATGGATTTCTGAAGCATGTTTAATCCAATAAACGTGAAAGTTGGCTTACTGCGACACTGAGTGTTGACAGTGAAAACGTCATTCATCTTGATCGTTGCAAAAAATTGCTCAGCATACTTTTTTATTTTTTTGAAAACAGATCCAGAATACCCGAAAAAACTGTTTTAGAGATGGTCTCAAATAAATTGTTTGTTTGTTAGTTTGAAGTTAAGCACAAAGCTACACAATGGGCTATCTGTGCTCTGCCTACCACGGGTATCAAAACCCTGTTTCTAGCGTTGTAAGTCCGCAGACATACCGCTGTGCCACTGGGGACGTCTCAAATAAACAAAACATTTTTAACAGTAAATCACAATGGGAATAGTACAAAAATATTGTCTTTGGTTTTGGCCAATGTATATTTTAAGCTTAGGCCTACAATATGATAGGTTCAGATGTTTTCCCGCCGATCGAGCTGCCTTTCTTAGATAGGCTTATACTGCTAAGCACTTATTAAGCTAAGAGTCAACCCGTACCAAATCTAAAGCTTATGGCGTTTATTCAGTAGTGTGATTAGAACAAGGTGCGAAATTGAAATAGGTTGATATCACGTTAGGTAATTGTTTTGGTTCGGATACTCTTACAATGTTACACAAGGGCTATCTGCGCTAGCCGTTTCTAATAGACTAGAGAGAAGGCAGCTAGTTAACAGCACCCATCGTCAACGCTTGGGCTACTCTAGTAGGATTTGACCGCTACTCTTATAATGCATCCATGGCCCAAAACTGCGGAGTGCGTTTTTTTGTTTCACCGCAACGGGATGCAAACCACGGATACTACAGTTCGGCAAACTAAAATCTAGATCACGCCCGGCACACTATCAAGTAAAAGCAGCACTATTTGTGTTCCAATACTAAATTTAAACAGAAGAGGGGAGAAAGTTGAATTTATGTTAGCTTTTCCTTGGATCAATATTTGTTTCACTTTCATAAACAGATAATCATAGTTATAAAATATTCCAATTTTGTTATTGAAATAAGTCACAATATATTGAATTCTTCGAAGCGGACTACACAGTAATGAACAAAATATTACAAAACACGAAAAACAATGAACAGTAAGAATTACAGCTGAGAAATCAAAAGCTTAGAAATGATAATAATAAAGTCTGTTAGACTTGGAAGGAAGAAATCGTTGAAGTTCAAATTGTTTTAAACAGTGATTTTTAACTTACATTTTACGGGTTTCAAGTGAAGTAGCGCTACTTTTACCGCGTAAGACGCTATTGACAAGGCTTTTATTTTCCGTTCAACACCAGTAGGCCTATCTCTCAACCGCTAACTAACCAAGATTTTGATTATAGGATGACAGTTAAGTCGTAAACGTAAAATTTATATGAAATAGTGGTGGTCAAGTAGAGAAAGTTATATTTAAATGATAATTTATTGACCATTACGTTTGTTCACGAACCCGCTGCTAGAAGAACTTTTATGGGTGACTGTATAACATATGTTTAGAAAGCAGAGACTCGATTTTTATCTACACAAGCCGTGTTAGAATGTAATCTAATCAGCAAGATTACTACCAGCTTGTTCTTGATGTTGTGTTTACATCATTTTAGATGCTATCAAACCATTGATGTATCAGGGTCACAGGAGTATTTTTTATTGAGGGAAACCAAAAATTCCCAATTCGTAACATTATAACAACTTTCAGTTATGTTGTTAAAGTATTATTATTGGTTATATTCATAATACCATATTTAAATACAACCAAGAAGATGACACACATAAGTTATACTTTACCTACTGACAAAAACAATACATTTAAGCGATTATTATAATATCTAAATAAATTTAAGTACTTATTATACTTAAATATGATTATTTTAAGATGATAACATTATATGGATTTGCTAAAAAACAAATAACATTAGAATACATTTTACAGATAACCTCTGGGTGTTTTTATTTTAATTTTGCAAAAGCTAATTCCTGCAAAAAAATAAAATACATTATTCATAACACAGTCAATAATAATTTGGTTCTATAAATGAACCCAAATTATTAATGTCTTCTTTCGGTAGGATGAAATTTAATACATATAATATGTGTTTTGACCAGCCAAATGTAATGCTGCCATCTATAATATTTCTTTGGCTTTAAAATACCGACACAATAATTATGACGTTTAAATGTATGTTTTAAATAGCCAGTTCTATACAAATTATTTGAGGCACTGCCTATGGAGGCGTTTTACCGTGACGGCCAATCCCACTATTCGTTGGTAAAGAGCTAGCGGTAGGTGCTGTTGACTAGCTGCCTTCCCTCTAGTCCATCTTTCCAAAATTAGTGACGGCTAGCGCAGACAGTCATCG